ATTTGGCATACCATTAACATGATGCCTGTTTGAGACCATACAAGCTTTTATTTAATTTGCAAACCTTGTTCTGTCCTTGAACTGAATAACCAGGAGGTATTTTCATATACACTTCTTTGTCAAAATTGTCATGTAAAAATGCATTATGAACATCGAATTGATGGAGTTTCCACCCTTTGATGGCAGCCACAGCAAGCAAGATTTTTATCGTTACAAGTTTGGCTACGGGTGAGAATGTCTCACGGTAATCAAGGCCTTCTTCTTGGGTATATCCCTTGGCAACTAAACGTGTCTTATGCCGCTCAGTGGTTCCGTCTGAATTGTATTTAATTTTGTAAACCCATTTTGAATCAATGGTCTTCTTCCCAATGGGTAGATCATTAACATCCCAAGTCTTGTTCAATTCTAGAGCAGTAATCTCATTATCCATTGCATTACACCAGTCTAAGCTTTTTACAGCTTTTGCATAAGTGAAGGGTTTAGTGTGATTAAGAATTGAAATGGCAAATGCAACATGGTTAGGAGACAATTTAGCATGAGAGAAGATATAATGTAAGGGATAAAAATGATTAGCAAGTGAATTACCTTTGATCTTGGAGCTTGAAAGAGAAGTAGTGGGTGCAATGACTTGTTGATAAGAGTAGTCCTGGAGATAAGCAAGGGATTTTTTTGGTCTGTTTGATCTGCGGGGAGGAGGTTGTGTTTGAAATGGAATATCAGGTAGAGTAGGGGAAATGGGAGGATTTGTGATAATATTCGAAGGGATGGAAGAAGTGGATTGTGTTGTTGTGTTTTCTGTGATAATATCAAAAGGAATGTGAGGATAATTTTGCTGCGATGGAGAGTGTTCTGAGGAACTGATGTGGGATGGTAGTGGTGGTGGGAGCTTGTTGTGGGGCTGATATGTGATGATAATTATGGTGGAGGGTGTGCTGTGAGGGGATCAGAAGGGACAGTATGAGAATCCTGCTGTGATGGTGAATATGATATGAGAATATCATATTGTAATTGTGAGGGCTAAGTGATGATATTGGTAGCTAGGGATGGAAATTGAGGTTTGGGAGAGGATTGGGCAATTTTAGAGGGAAATATGTGTTCATAGAAAGTGACATCTCTGGAGTAAAAAATGAATTGGCTATTTAGATCAAATAATTTGTAGCCTTTGATTCTGAATGGATATCCAAGCATAATGCATTTCCTTGCTCTAGAGTCAAATTTGTGTCTGTTTTGTTTTAAGGTAGATGCATAGCAAAGACACCCGAAGGTTTTCAAGTGTTGATAGGTTGGTTTGGTTTGAAAAAGAAGTTGGTATGGGCTATGATTTTGTAAATTTAGGGATGGTGTTTTGTTAATAAGATAGGTAGCAGTTAAAATGCAATCATTCCAAAAAGATGAGGGAACACCGGATTGAAATTTTAAGGCACAAGCAACATTTAAAATATGTTGGTGCTTGCGTTCCACAACCCCATTTTGTTGGGGGGTTTCCACACAAGTTTTTGATGGATAATTCATTTTTGCATGAAGAAATCAGTCATTGAAAATTCATTTCCATTATCAGATTGAAGAGCTTTAAGTTTTATTTGGAATTGTGTTTCAATTAGTGAGCAAAAGGATTGCAGTAAGGGTCGAGTTTGGGATTTATTTTTCATTGAATAGACCCAAGTGGATCTGGTGAAGTCATCAACGATTGTTAAGAAATATTTTGATCCATCATATGCCATTTGGGAACATGGTCTCCAAATGTCACAATGGATGAGTTCAAAAGGTTTAGAAGCGTGGTTGTCACTGATAGGAAAAGGTAACTTGTGATGTTTTGATAAATGACATGTAGAGCATGGAACAACAGAATCCATACAAGTTAAGTGAGGTAAATCCTTTTGTAACAAAGATAAGCGTGAGTCAAACAAGTGACCCATTCTACAATGCCATAAACTGTGGGAACTTTGCTGGGAAGTAACAAACGCAAAAACAGATAACTTATTAAAGGCTAAAGCGGATAAAATAGAAGATAGGGCTATGGGAGGCACTCCTGTTAGCCGAAGATGGTAGAGACTATTGACAGCCTCACCCTTCCCAATCGTGCTCCAAGAGAAAAGGTCCTGCACATAGCATTCATTAGCAAAGAAAACAAAGCAACAATTAATGTCCTGGATTTATTTTTTGGCTGAGAGGAGATTGAAATTAAAAGATAGGATGCATAAAACATCTTTGAGAGTAATGACATAATTGATTTTAACAATACCCTTATGGGTAACATTGGCATGATTACCATTTGGAAATCTGATTTTAAAATCAACTATGGATGGTGAGGAAGTATAAATGGAGGTGCAACAGATCATATGATTTGTTGCACCCGTGTCTATGATACAAGGAATATGATGTGAAGATGTTGTATTAGATTCTAGAAAGCAGGAAGCTATACTAGAGAAGGTGAAAGGTGAAGGGCAGACTGAGGATGGATCAATGGACTGAACCTGATTTGCCACTGGTTGTGTAGCTT